TGTGTGTGTATATATATATATATATATATATATATATATATATATATATAGTCCAATGAATATGAATGGATAAACTTTAGCCCAACGAAGGAAGTAAGAACCACACAAATATTAGTCATGGCAATATCTCTTTCTTCTGCAGCCAATTCTCCTCCATGCTTAAAGCCTCTTCTTCCTAAAACCTTGAGCTCTTTCCACACCAAAAATGGACGCTCAAGCTCAATCTTCAGTATAAAGTGTGAATCTTCGGCAGATAATGAGAGTGCAAAACGACTTTCAAAACTCGAGATTGGGTCTCCTATTGTTGTCGTTGAGGCCCCCAAGATGATTAAAACCGCTGCCTCAGTTCCCTGCCTTAGGGTCAACTCTGGCTTAGTCAACCCTGGCGATGTTGGAAGGTAATCCTAGCAATTTTTACGTTACTTCGCGGATTCGAATTTTTAATTTAAGTTGAGATGTGATATTTTTTAAGAGCTTTTTACTGTAACAGAAAAAGTTAGATATGACATTTTATGATAGCTTTTTACTGTAGAAATCTAAAACTGAAAACTCGAATCGGTGAAATGAATGAGGCCTAATTCATCAATTTTCAATCACGTAAATTAATTGATTCTTAAATTTTTCTTTTTATTTAATAAAATTAGGGACATTTGCTTATAATAAAATGCTTTAAAACTGGTCATATTTGTGCATACCTTTTTCTTTAAACGGTTCTATTGATCCCAACGAAGCTTACTGCCATTATTCGAATTTGTTAACTTTTTTTTTTCTTTTCCTTTTTTCTATTTGGTATGATATTGTCGCATAACAAAAAAGGAGTTTTTCTTTTTTTTTTAGTGATGTGTAATTATTTAAAAATATTACTGGTATTAAAACCAAAATTTGGTTATCATGCCCGTATTTTCTTGAGTGTATATATATATATATATATACACACGTTATGCAACGTGTGCTAGTGTGCTGTTATTTATAGTGAGTGTGCTTTTTTTTTGAGTTCTATGATGAGTGTAATTTTGATATGCAGGATTGTGTCAAGAAAGCCAAAGGATGTGTGGGCAGTGCGTCTAAGCATCGGTACTTACCTTATAGATGGGAAATATTTCAAGCCCTTAGATGTTGACAAATAAATATAAATATACATACAAATAATTCTTGGCTTATATATATGGATATCAGAATAATAATTTTAGATGAAGATCTTGCCTATTGCATTTTTCTAATTTCTTCCACATTTCTTGTTGTTGCAATATGTAACAATATATTTTTATTGTTCCAATCTTCCCAAATAATCGGGTTAATTACATTAATGGTCAATGAGTGCGAGCAAAAGTACATAGAGGCCTAGATGTATGAATACGAATGTATAAAATGCTCAAACACTATGATATTATATGATGTCAGTTTCACAGGTTTGAAGTGGAGAGTTATAAAAGCTATTTCATTCAGTAGAAATGGGGAAAAATGTAGGGCGCATTTAGAACTCGTTTTAAAATGATTTTGTTTTTTGTATGAAAATGAAAATGAAAACGTTTTCAATCTCAGACATAAATTATTTTTAAAAATGCGTTTGATAGTTTTATTAAAAGATTATTTTCAGTGTAAAAAAACCAATTAATGTCTCTCTTTCTCTCTCTCTGCTCGAGAGAGGATAAAACGAAAACAAAAATGAAAAACGACTAAAAGTCATTTTTCGTTTCTCTCTTATTTTACACTAAATCAAAAAATCATTTTCATTTCCGTTTTTTGTCTTTATTACGCCAAACGCCGTTTTAAAAACATTTTTATTTTTTTCTCAAAAAACGTGAAAAATAAAAATAGGATCAATTCTAAACACTGCCATAGAGTTAGAATTAGTGTATGATAGTTCATTTCTATGTAGATCTCGTACTATGAGACTCACAGATGGGGTTCATCTTCCATTAATGGGTGATCTCGACCTAAAGTATTTTTCTCATGAGTTATTTTATCCAGAGAAAAAATAGAGTTAGAATTAGTGTATGATTATTTATTTATAACGAGTCACTTTCATCCATACAGATTTGCACTTGTACCTTGTTAAATTAAATTATAGTGAAGGATACATATTAATAAGGTCAATTTATGTTTGTATTATGAAATATTCTTCTCCTTGCTCACTATATACATTCCGGATTCGGTTTTTATTTTCCATCAATGTTTTACCCGATATTACAATCCTTAAAATATTTTTATATGAATTTCATTAGATCATTCCATGGATTAATGAAAAAATGTGGGTAGTTATTATTTGTTCATACCCTTTAGATTGTAGATGGAAAAGAGTGTTCTGTTATCAGTTGTATCTTTCAAGAAATTAAAAAAATATGGGACAATTGTGAAATTAAAAAATATGGGACAATTGTGATTAAATTGATTTTTTTTTTGTTTAATTTCTCTACTCGAGCTAGCTAGCAAAACAATTTATGTATACTCAAATTGACCTTTCACTTCCGCAACATGATGTATAAAAACTTGGTGATTTAATATATATATTTTTTATATATGTAAATCATATATTTAAGTTAATTACCACGATATTTAGGGCGCATTTGAAACTCGTTATAAAATGATTTTATTTTTTTGTATGAAAATGAAAATGAAAAACGTTTTCAATCTCAGACATAAATCATTTTTGAAAATGCGTTTGGTAGTTTTATCAAGAGATTGTTTTCAATGTAAAAAACAATTAATGTCTCTCTTTCTGCTCGAGATAGGAGAAAACAAAAAAAAATGAAAAATGAAAATGCGTTTGGTAGTTTTATCAAGAGATTATTTTCAATGTAAAAAACAATTAATGTCTCTCTTTCTCTCTTTCTGCTCGAGAGAGGAGAAAACAAAAAAAAATGAAAAACGACTTCATTTCTCTCTCATTTTACACTAAACCAAAAAATCGTTTTCATTTTTGTTTTTTGTCTTTATTGCGTCAAACGCCGTTTTAAAAACGTTTTGATTTTTTATTTTTTGAAAAATATAAAAAATAAAAACGGAATCAATTCTAAACACGACCTTAGTGATTATCTTCACTAACTTTATTTGAATTGTCCTTATTAATGTGTAACATTAATGTTACAAAAATGAGAACCCTAGTTTTATGAAATGAGTTTGCAGTAAGAGAGCTTGCCAAGGGATCAAAAATCTTGTAAAAGTCTATACAGCACAAGTTGTCTATTGTCCACCTTTTATGTTGAGGTATCAATATATATTTTTTAAGTAATTATTACACGAACTGTTTAATTTTTTTAAGAAGGAAAAAAATTAATCAAATACGTTTTTTTATAGCAAAAACAACGACCCAAATGAGAATTTTTAGATCTTTGACAATGATATGTTTGTGACCATAAAATGCTAAGAAAAAACTATGTAAACGTTAAACATGATATAAGAAGACAAGTTTACGAGAAAATTAGTGAACTCACTATTTGAATATATTGTTTTAAGATTTTTATTATATACTAATTAATATTTTTTTGGACTAATATGGTTTTTCAACTAAAAGGTATTAACAAGTATAAGGAGTAAGAGTATTTGCCTCCTTTTTCCTAAGTTTATATATAATAAAAAACGTTTGGTCCTTCCCATAATATGAAGAAACATGACTTTTAAAGGTATAAAAATAAAGAATTTTTTTTTTAAGCTTAGTAGATTATACTTTTTCAAAGCCTAATTTATTTTCTTATTAGTCTTTAGAATGAATGATGAGTACAGCTGCAAAATTAAACTAAACAAACTATACCTTTGAGTATTAACTTTCAGTTAAGTGTTGGAGATGTAGCAAAGTAAAAAATAATTAGTAAATTGATGTAGGTAGACAACACAAATTTGTGTCTGTTCTCATTTTGTGTACTTTCTAAAAACTTTAGGGCTCGTTTAGTTCACTGATTCGAGTTGAGATGTGACTCTATGTGAGAGTTTTTTATTGTAGTAAAAAAGTTAGATGCAACTGTTTCTGAAAGCTTTTTACTGTAGCAAAACTCGAATTCTAAACTCGAATCAGTGAAATGAACGGGGCATTAGTCTCAATAGAGGCTCTAATTTTAAACTCGGGCTCGTGTTGTCGATGAATTATATACGTGTGTCTGTACGTATTTTTCTTTTTTACTTTTACAAATAAGAATTTACAATTATTCAAATTTTAAACATTTATATTTATGTGCAGACATACATAGATAGAGTAATTAGTATAATTAGAAATTCCATAAATTAAACTAACCTGAAGCGGCGAAGAGAGAAAACATCAAGATAATTGGATTACGTTTAGTTTATGGATTTAGAATCATAATTTAAAATTATTCTCCATTTATGTGTATTTTTTGTAAGAAAAAATACTGTAACGAGCCACGAACCACGACACGAATCCTTATACTAAACACCAAGTAAATAAATAGGTTTAAAATTCTCAGCCATTTCCACCATGCGCTTAAGCTAAATATGATTTGGTTTTATATATAGCCTGACTTGCTTAGGTTGAAATTAATTTTTTTATTTAAGATTTAATTTATTTCATTTTCATGTGTCATATCAAGTCACGATTAAGCGTGTTTATAAATATATAACCCGAATATAACTTTGATGTATAAGGCCTTTATTTATCTATTAATAAAATTTTTAATTAATTAATTATTTTTTTGCTTGAAAGAAAACATTTATATATTTAAATTTATGAGCTATTAATTAGCAGCTCTATGAATATGACAATCTGAAAAAAGAAATACGATCGATAAATTATTAATATAGCACCAAACCCCAATGGAATTCGAATATATGCATTTGGCAAAGTGAGCTTTGATATGTAACACCTATAGAATCAACTTGTAATTTTTCTTTTTACAATAATCAACTTGTAATTTTAAGCACAAGTCTCTTACGCGAGAAAACGTGTAACATTTTGAACTTATTAAAATTTCCCCTAAAAGAAAGAAACTTATTAAATTAAAATGTTAAAAAGGATTCTTAGTTAATAAACAACTCGACATTTGATTTTTTTTTTCTCTTTTCTTGAAAATTGTATTCGCGTTTGGAAAGAAAATTCATGGCCGATATGGTCATTGAATTCATACATAAAGTTATGTTAATTTTTCTAAGGTAATAATATCGAGTACATAATGTGCTTGAGCTATTTTTAAGTGGGTAAATTGAGAGTCTACCCAGAGATTTAATACTAAATTAGTAGGTTTAAATTGGTGAAATATAACTATTATTATTATTATTATTATTATTATTATTATTATTATTATTGGTAGTAGGTTTAATCTCAAAATCTCTTAAATTTATTTAAGTCATGCATAAAATTATACATTACCTTATTACTATTACTATTATTATTATAATTATTATTATTATTATTATTATATAATGTTATTAATATCTCTAAAAAGTAAAGACAGAAAAAGAAAAACGATTTTTTTTTTGTTTACAGAAAATTAGATCAGTTGTAAATCACATTAATCGTTTTCAAAAGTAAACATCAACTAAACACCATTTTCATATCATCACGACAAAAGTAAAAATTATTAGTAATCAAAGGAGCCTCTAGTTTTACGCCTTTACTTCCATAATGTTTAATAAAAGAGAAGGAAAAGAAAAAAAAAATGAGAAATTATCTATACAAATTTTCCAGAATTTGAGTTTATAATTTAAGTTTTACTATAGTAAAAAGTTCTAAAAAACAGTTACATTTAATTTTTTTATTACAGTAAAAAATTCTCATATAAAGTCATTGAAGGCGTACAAATTTCTCAACATGAGTGAACTAGTTTGGTAGAAAATGTCTGCAATTTTTTTTTTCTTTTTGAAGGACGTAGTCATGTTTCTTCTTCCACATTTTATACTTTATTTGTTAAAAAAAGAAAAAAAAAACAAAAAATTGGAAGGATCAATGAATAATGGGTAAATGACAAGGTATTAATAAATCAAAGTTTATCAGACTTTCCTCATGAGCAAAACCGGTAAAAATCTAATTTAAAAAATCATAAATTTACCTGGATTTATCTATGACCAAATTTGATAAATTAAAATTTACTTAATTTACTTCCTAAATATCAATGTTTACTTAATATTTATTACTTTCTTAGTTGATGAACTCATTTTTACTACACATCTTCTTTTAAAATAAAAGAAATATTTACTAAATAATTTAATTAATAATACATAGGCTATTTATTACATTAAATATTTCAAACAAACTATTTAGTTTATTATCATTTCAGCAAAACAAAACAACTCTTATGCAGTAGAACAAAAGAAAAATAAGTTTAAGATTTTTTTAATTTTTGATAGCGCACGAGAAATAGTTTTTTTTTTTTTTTTTTTTTTTTTTTTTTTTTTTTATAGAGGAATTTTTAA